TTTTTTGTTATTACACAACATCGACTTGATTAGTAAAATAATGACTTTTTATATCACCGGAGTTATTCAATTATTTTTGCCGATCATCAGGTGAAGCGATACTTTTTTCCAGTGACTGTATGTCAACGCCCTTATACTTGGGCTAAGTGATTGACCGACTTAGTATTGGCGATTATCGCGACTTTATATAGATCGACCGACTTATCGATTTTTTTTAAATAGTAAAAAAAAGGTGGTGAAACTTTTTAGGCCAAAACCGACTTATCGAGTTTACATATGTAATAATTTCACTAAATTAATTCTGTTCTTAACGTTGAAAAATTGTGAATGAATAAAAGAATGGGAAATAAAAAATTTTTTAATATATTTTGATATGCACCCCACTAAATTCATTCAACATCAACATCATTATTATGGATTATGTGTTCATTGTTCTTTATTTTCCCACCTCTCTTTTTTAAAAAACATTACTTTGTCCTTTTTTTCAATCATCACATCCTTTCGTTTTTATTCACACTTGCATAATAATATTATTATTAACAATTAGTAAAAACTTTTGGAATCACATCAAATTGCATAAAATAAAAATGGTTAAATAAAGATAAAATTTTTTTATCTAAACAATGAATATATTTTATCTCAAACAATGAATATTTTTTTTAAAGTTTCTGACGTTCCGATCAACTAATTTATTATTATTCAGTAATTCGAGTACTTATTATTTACATGTGCGTGATATAATTGCAATTTGTTATCTGATTGTTCTCATTTTAACAATTCCCCAAAAGATTGATTATGCATACAATAATAATAATGATGATGCTGAATCTTTTTGGCAGATTATGTTACAACATGAGAAGAGGAATGTTGACATGTATTATGTATGTATGCAAAGAAAAAAAAAGCGGGGTCGTGTAACTTGGATGGTTTTTTGTTATATTAAAAATAACCACCTTATTCTATCGCACAAAGAATCCAAGTTATTAATCTAGCGAATCGGCATAACCAACAAATCAATGAATTGACAAGTTGACAGATTTAACGGATTACGGTGGCTAGAATTTAGGTAGAAAAGGCAAAAAGATATATGATTTTGGTAATATATAGTAGTAAAGTATGAATAAATCAAGGAAATCAAAAAAAACGGGTTAGTTTGATGATTATGTCATGCAAGTTTTAATAGTTATGGCGGGCTGTTTCACGTAATTTGTTGCAGCATCTTACGAAAAAAAGTAACTTTGTTTAGTATTATCATTATATATGTAGTATATATTTTACTCTATTTAGTTTATTTTCTTTTTTGCTTTCTCGCTCTCTTTAATCACGACTACCACTATGTCTCTACTAACATAATTTCTACCCCAAATAATCAGCCTGATTCAATTACTATTGGATGATTCAATGTTTTTTTTTTGAAATAGGCGAGAGGGACAATTGATGGCGATATTAAAAAAGGTGGGGTGATTTAATATATATATATATTAATAATATTTCTTTTAAAAAAAGGACCAATTATTATTATTGTAGAATGCAAATGCGAATGCAATGTTAAATAATCTAATCATTAATTGACTTACCAAATTCTTTTTTAATTATCAACTTTTTGTCGGAAGAAATATTAATCAGGCAAAGAACAAAAACTTGAAATTCACAAAAATATTATTGATATTATTGTTCGGTTGCAATTTATTAATTAATAATAATAATAATAATAATCGCAAGGAATCAAAAAGAGATGATTGAATTATTTGAGAATCGGAGAAAATAGAAAAAAGATTTCAATTATAAAATGATCAATTTAAAAATTAAAATTAAAAAAAAAAATATTGGCTGAAAAATATATTTATTATATATTTATTATGTCTACTATGTGGAACAATAATTCCCCAAAAATTTTTCCATTTTTTTTTTTTATAATAATAATAATTAATATATTGTGTTAAATAAAATAGTTTTTTTTTTTTCTGTAATACTATATAGTATAATACTAGAAATATATTATTATATCATACATTTTACATTTTATCAATAAAAAAACGATAAAAAATTTTTTCTTTACGTCAACAAAAAAACTTTTTAATAATTTGATTTTTCTCATTTTATTTTTTTAACAATAAAAAAACATCAAAAATAAATTTACTCTTAGTTAATGAGAAAGGAAAGAAGAAAATAAACTTCAAAAAAAAGTATATATATATATATATATATTAACCTCAAAAAAAAAAAAAGATTTCAATTCGTATTCTATTACGAGCTACTTATTTACTTCTTTCTATAATAATTTTTCCAAAAAGAAAAAAAAATATTATATAATCTAATATTACACGATTACAATGACTGGAAAGTGAGTAATGTCTAGATCTTTATTTATATTGATGATTATAAATAATGATTTACTTTGTCATTATCAATCATAATTAATCGATTAAACATCTATTTATTATCTATATAAACCTATATAGAATATTTTCATCAATAAATGAAGAACTTGCATATTATAAAACCCATGCTTCTAATTTAGAGCAAACATTACTTGATACGCAGAGTTCTATGGAAGAATTCCAATCTTCGTCAAGAGAATTAGAAGAAGAACTTGAACGTGAATTGGAACAATCAGAAAGAAGATATGTTGATATAAAAGCAAAGAATGAAATGTTGAAAAATGAAGTAGATCAATGGAAGGTGATTGTCAAAAAATAATTTATTTGACTTGTCGTTATTATTATTAATTATTGATTGGAGCATATACATGTATATTTTAGCAAAAATATTACCAAGCTAGGTCTGAGGCCAATGTCACACAACAACAAATGCAAAGAGAACTTGATAGTTTAAGAAAAGTTGAAAAAACGTATGCTATAAAAACCCGTGAGTTGGAACTTGACAATGATGACTTAGAAAGAACAGAAAGGTTAGTAGATTGGACGGATGGATGAATAGATTGATAGATTAAAATATTAATATTAATATTGATATATTTATATAATATTAATTCATTCATTACATAGAGCTGCAAAATGTTCATTACAAGATTTAGAAAACAAATACAATAAAGCAATAGAACGTAATGCAATCTTAGAAAATGAATTGGAAGGAAAAAACATATTAATTGTCCAAGTACAAAGATTAAAAGATGAATTAAGAGGTAAATATCTCAATTTTAATAATAAATACAAGTATACATAATATCATCATTATAACTTTAAAATTTTATCTAGATGTGAATATAGAATTGGCTATATTGAAAAATAAACAAGATGGTGAATATGGCCCACCACCACCATCAGCTTCTCAACTATATTCAATACATAAGACAGAATTATCGCGTTCACCATCACATATGTCTGTTGATTCAAATTCATCTGATGTTAGCCCAAATCCGGTAAAAATGGTACAAGAAATGGTTGGCAGGGTCAAGGTAACTTATACACATTTTATATATTATTACATCATTATTATTATATCTGTTTATTAATTATATTTGTATTTAAAAGAGTTTGGAAGCACGTTTAGTATCATGTCGTTCACTAGTTACACCTTTATTAGCACCACCTCCATCATATAGTACAACAATGCCATTACAAAATGGTATAAATTCACCTCCATTATCACCAAAAACTTCACGTCTGGATTCACCCTATATCACTTCACTGAAAGAAAAAAGACGCAGTTCTGTTCAAAAAACAAAATTTAGTATTCCACCTACTCCAATTAGAGCAAACTCGTTTGGTAAAGCTTAACTCAACAAAACAATGATAGTATATATTTTCATATCAAAAAACAATATCATAAGCAACAAAGTAATGATGAAGAGTATACAAAAAAGGAATGTAATTTTCTTTCAATTGATTTAACAAGAAGATGGATTAATGATTAACAATAATAACAATAATTTTATTAGTATTAAAATTAATTATAATTGCTGGATTTTTTTAATAATGGACTTTTAGCAACAATAAGAAAAATAATACTATATTTTTAATATTCTATTCTCTTATTATATATATATACATATATATAATACAATCTAATACTCCTAATACCCTTTCTATTCTGCTTGATTTTTCCTTTTAATTCTACTTGCTTATTTATATTTATATTATTTATTATTCACTTGGGTACTTTAACAAATAGCTTTAATAATTCCAATTAGTTCTTTATTTTATGTTAAATATATTCATATATCATATTGATGGACAAAATCCCTTACTCAAAAAAAAAAAAAAATAACACAAATAAGTAAGTAATGAAAAGTCATCATTATCGAAGAAGTAAACAATATTAAATTTTTGAATAGAAATTATATCCCCTTTTTAATATAAGAATATTTCTATCACCCACCTATCTCTTCTTTTCAACAAAGATGGATTTTATTTTTCTTGTATTAATATTTTTTTTTTCGTTTTTTATTTAATTTAATTTAATTAGTTAATTAATTTTTTATTGCTATTTATCATCACCATAACTATAATTATAATCATTTTACCTTTAAACTACCATTAATATCGTTTATTTATACAAATATATACATATAATATTCGTTATAATTTTTCATAATATTAATTGGACTTTGTTCTGTTAATATTATCTATGTAATTTATATTCTAATAAGATTGTTATTAAATTTTTTTTTATTATAATTATTTTTCCCATTTTTTATACTTAATATATACAAAACAAAATTATATATATTCTAAATTAATATATAGAGTTTATTTAACAAAAGTATTATTTAGATTAATATATTTACACATACACACATACATTTTAGTAATTGATTTCTTGGTGGGATAATTTTTTAAGATTATTAAGTTTTTTCAAAAAAAATAAAAGGAATTTTCTTTTGTACAGGTTTTTTTTAATATATAAATTTATTTATATGATCAACTATTCAATTAATCTGATAAAGAAAAAAAAAATCACAAAAGCGAATAAAATTTTGGTAGGGTTGAGAGCCATTCAATATATATGTATATTGATTGAAGTTTTCTCTCACCTTTATAAATCATCTAAAGAAATTTATATTATATTATTGGTTTTTTCAATTATTTAAGATTATTTTATGTTTAAATTATTATTATTATTTTTTTTTTTATATAATTTAAGATTTGACGAATTTACATTCAAACATTAAAGTTATAAATAAATTAAAGTTATAAATAAATATAAATAAATAAAATATATAGTGTGTTGTAAAAAACCAGAAAATTAATTATTGTCAGAAAAAATTCGCCAAATAAAATTTCAAAGTTCTGCTTTTTTAACTGATTAGTTGTCGAGTAATTTGCTTTTAAAATTCGCACTATGGTTGAATCTTACCGGCTTTTTTGCAATTACATTATTAGCAAAGGTATACATTTACCCAATAAATATATCCGTTCTCAAATATCATTAATAAGTTGTATGTAACAAATGATATAACTTGTAGGTTCTTTTTTTTCCTGGGTCTGACCAAACATTTTATGATGATCATGCCATTCTTGATCGTACAATGATTGATTCAGTGATGACCCACTACCCAAAACTGTGACCTTCCACCTTGAATTGATATGGCGGTCCAGACCTAATGATCCATGGCACCACCATAGCTCAATTCCACTCTTTATTAAATAGAATTACGTGGTTGTACAAAAAGTTTTGAGAAAATACATGTAACTTGATGATCTTTTCTTTAATAAAAGTAAAAATGGGAATAAAAAACAATCTTTTAAATAAAAAAAAATAAAATTTTAAAGTTTGCCAGTAGAAACAAATGGAAAATTCAAAACGTGAATACCAAAGATACTACATTTTTGTTAGCTGGAAAAATAGCAAACCAGCTAAACAAATTCACAGGAATTACAGGTTGCTGAGGAGTCTAATGCAGTATCTTTATCATCTATTTATTGTTGGATTGAAGCATTTGAAAGTGGAAAAAATAATGTTGAAGATGATTCATGTTCTGGACGTCCTCAAGAAACTTCCACCCTTGAAAACATTGCAAAAGTTGATGATTTAATTAGTGATGATCCTCATATGACAATTACAGCTATTGAAGAGAATGTAGGTATTTCTAGAGGAAGTATTCAAAGTATTTTACATAATGAATTAAAAGTTCATAAAATTTGTAAAAAATGGGTCCCGCATGTTTTAACTGTTGAAAATAAAAAATATTGGGTTGAAATTTCTAAGCAATTGTTAGGAATCCTTGATAATGGGACTTAATAATATTATCACAGGTGATGAAACTTGGTTTTATTTTTATACTGTACCAAGTAAAGAATCAAATAAAACATGGGTTAAAAGTGGGGAAAATCAGCTGCAAATTGCCAGAACTGCACAAAATGCTAAAAAAAGGATGTTTTGTGTTTTTTCTCAATAGAAGCATCAGGAAATTTTCCCTGCTGTAATATTACGTCCATAAGTTTTAATATGTAATGTAATGATTGCATAATTTTCTGCATAATATTACAGGGCCTTATGTAAATACATAAAACAGCATCAGAAAAAATTTCCTGGAGTGGCTGCCTACAACTACATATATTAAAATGAAGTTGGACTTGGCCACTTTGCTTGCCATTAATTTGTGCTCCCCATGTGCGAATATGTGATCTCTTTAAACAATCCAAAGTAGCTTTTTATGTGTCATGCCACAATGTAAATTTCGATGTTGTATTTTTTGTGATAAAACCGTTTTTAATTGTAAATATTTCGTAACCATACATGTCACCACCTAAGTCAGATTTGGACCCATGTCCTTTGCTAGATGGCTAGATGTTATAAATTGGTTTAAAAGAATATAACTATAAGTCATGTTGACAATATAGATATGTATGCAAATAAATATAAATTACCTCATGACTAAACAATACTTTCTTAGTATGCTTGTTACTGTAATAACTAAGGTTTCTGGGTCCAAACTATTTTTGAAAAAAAATATCTTCGACAATAGTTTGAGCCTATAAAATTAATTTTTGCCCAAAGTGTTTTGGCAATTTCAGCTACTAAGAGAAGTAATTTCGACCAGAAACCTTAATAATAACGTGACACGTGAATATCACCTTCCAATATGTCTTTTTTATAAGGTTCACCAAGATATTCACCACTAACGTGACAAAAAAAAAGAACTAATAAGTAAATAATCACGCATATATACATTTACATATATATATATATATAGACATATTACTTACTAATGAATCAAAACGCTTTGGATGTAGTCAATTATTAATCCTTCTTCCATGCTGGGATTGGGTCCATTTATCAGGCTCCTTTAATATATTATTAATATTAACTTGGCCTGCACTGAATCCAAACTGGCAAACTCCTTATGGAATCGCACCTAGCCCATGCCTCAACAGATCTCCATGAGTTAAATTCTTTCTGTATTGAAAAAGACAATTATTATCACAAACAATGATCAACAAAATTTGCATACTTTTTCTAAAGACTCAAAAGGCCTCGGTAAAGCCTCTGATATAGTTAGGGTTTGTATTCACTGATAACATGAATACCGTTAAGTGGTTTACACGCCATTAAAACAGCAAAAATCCCATGATTTAATAGTATGTGACCCTGTGTACCTCCTTACGGTATCCGTGAATACAAACCCTAGATGTAGTTGGTATATCAGTTATCTTTTGGTTTGGTTTATTATATCTTTATTTACCAATTCGAAAGCATTTATGTAGATTATAAAATTCATGATAATCAATTACATTGAAAGGTTGATTATCATCTGTTACTATTCAGGTAGAAAGTGAAATATTTATCAATAAAAATCTAGAAATGAATTACAGTATATACATATATAAATTAATAAATTAATTAATTATAAATTAAAAATTACTAATATTAAATTTAAATATATACATGCCTACGGCTTTAATAATAAATTTATTTGGATGCTTACTAAGGAGATGAATTTAATTATTTGTAGAGCCACTACTCATTCATCAAATTTTTTTATGTCCGCAAAAATTATTTTTATATAAAATTATTATTTTATTAAACAACTAACCTATGCGCAATATTTACATTTAACTAAAATGTTCCAATATGGGTCTTTGAATTTAAAAAGATTCAGTAGTGCAGTCAAGTTTTGTGATATGTTGGCAAGGCTGTTGTACTAAAGTTTTTAAATTAAAGGATAATATTTTATTATTATGATGCAAGTTTAATTTTCTACTACTATGATGACAACACTACTATTTATATATTACTTCTATTATCAAAGTGTAAACTCTTATATCAACTCGAAACTAACTTTTTAATGTGGTACAACCATTTGTAGATAAGCAAATAACACGTAAACAAATTTTATAAATAGGATCTGTTAGGGAATTGTTCAATTTCTGATTAATTTGATTAATTAGCTTTCAAAAAATTGTAATAAAAAGATTGGTTTAATAGAGGCGCAGAAATACCATTCCATCATTTGCTCCCTTCATTATAAAAGAAGAAAGTGTTATTGCGATGATTATTCATTTGTAAACTATGTATTTATCTATCCATAAAAGGCTTTTATCTCCTTTTGGAAAATGTCATTGATTCAAAAATTAAAAATTAAGAACAATGTCTGCCAAAAAAAAAATGGAACGCTTGGTTAGAGAAAACTATAAAAGATGAACATATAGATTATTTTGATTATGGCTCTTGAGTTGATTTTAAGCTGCTCGGTATGGTGCTTCTGATAAAGTGCTTCACACTAGATCTATTGATTATGGCTTCAAAGACTCTTGATAGTGATTCTGCATTCAACAAACTTGTCAACGAATTTATGTTCATTTTAAAAAATCACTTGTAGTTTTGTCATTAATTTTTGTTATATTGGATCATATATAAATGTTTTTTGATTCAGTTGAAACAACATCGAAGGGCTCAATCACACACTAATATAATACGTTTTTATGGCATTACCTACTTACACACGTTGTCAAAATTAGTTTAGCTTAATTTTTAATTGTGCCAAAAGTCATCTGATTGAGTCAAGTGATTCATCTATTTCTGCCAAAAAAGTAAATATATATTTATTAAAATAATTTTTTGAAGTCAATATATATGTGTTGTGAAAATCAAATTCGAATTCACGCAGATTTCAAATTCACGCACAACATATGTTAGCAGTTGGATATAATGATATTGCACCCTTTGTAATTATTTAAAAGAAATAAATTATCTTGGAATATCAAATTAATCTTGGTAAACAAATTGCAAGTGCAGTAGCAGATCTACATACTTGTAATCCATGAAGGTTTGTTTTATTATTATTTTTAACAAAAATTATTTATTTATCAATTATCAAAAATTAATATTATTAGCATTCAGAGAATATTTTAATTCATTGTGGACTTTGAGGTTTTGATACTTGCGGAACGTGTGACAGAGGCTACAGATACATTAAATCAGCTTTTAAATATTTTTAATATTCTGATATTTAACATAGCTACTGCCATAATAAAAAAATCAGATATCTATAGTATTGGGATTTTATGTCAAGTGATAGAATATCTTTTGAGTCAGGAATGCTTCCAGATGTTATACTTTTGGGTTGGATCGTCCCTGGTAGAAGAGAAACAGTAATCAAAGGAATTCCTAAAGTATTTATTTATTTTTTTACATGTTATTGTTTGTTGTTGTAATTTACTTATTATTATTGTATATATTAGTTCAGATTTCCATTTAAGCTTGTCGGCAGGATGATTCATCAAGGTAGTAGGAAATTTTATCAAATGGAATAATCAATGAAAACAAAGCAATTATTGATAAATCGAAGGTTAACTGATTGGGATGGCTTGACGAGGCAATTCAAAATAAACACACATCGATTTTATAAATATAATAGATTTATTGATCCTCAAGGTGGTTCTGGGAAAGTTTAAGAATGATAAAACAAATGCGAAGAAATTTGTTAATGAGGTAAATTGCAATCTTTTTTTTGATTGTGAATAACTCAACTAGTTGGAAATTATCATGTGAAGTTAAAGTATTATGGGTGCCATTGGGAAGAAGGTGTGCTTTTAAATGTTTATATTGATTCCAATTTTGAATATCTAAAATTTATATTTATTGATAAAGGTAATAAGAAACATTTATTAGTCTTCGAGTATGCTAATAGTGGAACACTAGGCTATATAAAAGGAAAATTTAAATCAGTCAGTTGGGATCAATAACTGAAATTTGCATACGAGATCGCATCAGGTATTTCGAACACAACTATGATTTATTCTTCAAAAAATATCATCCCAAAAAGATTATATACGTCAGAAGTGTGATTTGTTCCAAATACTTTCCATAGTATTATTATAATTGGCATTAGATATGGAAATTTCTATTATTTTGGGAAGTTTATTATTAAGGATGTTAGCCGAAATGGTTTTTGAAAAAACAATATTGGCAAGCAATCTCAGATTTACAATATTATTTACATCAATAGGTATAAAAAACTACCCAGAATTATGTCTATTGAGTTAGTGTTCAATAATTTCAAATATAATTTCAGCAACTAATAAAGTTGATTTTGACAACTATGAAAAACTATTTCAGCATTTTGGATTCGGTGATGATTATTTATTATCAAACTTGCCGTGCAATTTATCAAATAATGATATTAAAGTTTGCCGAGCAATTTATAAAACCCATCAAGATTGTCGTCAAATACGTTGACAAAAATCTTTATTATAAGCAGGAATAATTAATAAAGTCGGGAGAAAAAAATTTGCACAGTATAAATATGTTATCTACTTGATATATAGTATATATGCATATTTTTATTTTATTTTTTATATCTATTGCCAAAAAGTTCAAATACAAGAGTAGATAAATTTTCGATTTGTATTCGTTTGAAATGTGAGACCCCCATTGGTCGTCACGGCATTACATGCCTTTCAGAATTAATTGGAATATCAACCACCCTTCAGGAGAACACGTTGCCACGCGTCTCAACAGAATTTAAATCACTAATGACTATGCGGCCTCTATACAAGATTGTGACCATAAAGTATAGCAAAAGTGATGAATTTTATTATATTTGGTATAGTAAATCAATTGCCTCACCCTAGTAGTAATAATACTAGGACCACGCATAATTTAATAATTAAAAATTTATTAAATCTGATGTTTTTAGGTGTCAGATTTAAGAGAATTATCCTTTATCCGCCTATGCAGCATAGTACACGTAAATACATGCACCCTTGTTATCCTGTGACTTAGGCAGACGCTTTAGTCCAGGGACAATTCGCTACATAGGAGAAGCACCCTGAAATGGCTTCGAAATGCAATCCAAAGAAACTTGGAGCCTCCCTATCACACTCCAAATTCTATTGCATCACGTATCTTCGTGGATGGGAGAGTCGGATTCACTTTTTGGGAGTTAAGGATAACCGAAATTCAATTCTTGAAAAATAAATTTTAAAATAAAAACAAACAAACAAACAAACAAACAAACAAACAAATAAATAAATAAATAAATAAATAGATAGATAAAAATAAATGGAATGTTAAAAAAAAATATTTATATTTACATTCTATATGCCCGTTTGTTGAAGGCGGCATATACGTTAGATATCTCTCGTTTCTTCTGTGTCCTCGCTTCTTGAGGAGAGTTTTATCAACAACAAAGCAGATAAAGAAAATTTTACAAATAATAATTAATAAGCATAATTGAAATGGATAGATTGGTGCTACAGTGGACGACAGAAAAAGCCATCAACTAGTTTGCCAGAAATGGTATCTGAGACCAATATTTACACTCTAATTTCGTTAGTCAACTACTTCCACATGACATTTTTCCACCTATTGACTAAGCTCTTGCATCATAATGACCTTCATAAATTTTATTAGCTAAATTTGTACATGTAATAAGATTATTTGCCACCTCATAAATACTTCTTGCATCACTTGTTTAACAAAGTGCACTAACCAAATTAGTCTGAAGATCTTTGGTCAAATTAAATCCATCAACTTTCACTATCGCTATTTATCCTCTCTTAACATGGCATTGCTATTTCATAATGTTAACATGCAAGTTTACACAACACAAAGCTTACAAATTTTTAAATTACTAAAATGCAATAGTTGTTGAATTTGGTGTTGGTCAATTAGCTGGATTAATTGGTATTTTTAACAGTCTTTTACCAATTTTTACTACTGCATAACAATATTAATAAGAGAACGACAGTTTTAGAGCGGACAACATCAAGTAAAGTAACCGAAGCAAGCCTGCTTAGTAAGTGGCCAATCTGT